TCTCTATAATTATTAACTTTTCATTGCATGTTTGCTTTCCGTGTGTCGGGCCTGATAAGAGCGGTGCCGTCGCTTGCATTTCTCTGCTCGAGTAGTTTGACCCCCCCAGTGCAGCCTATAGCTGAAACCGGAGCGGTCAGAGAGTTCACGGTCCACCGTCCGGGGACACTGGTAACTGGACACTGCACTGACAGCCGGGAAGCGCAACTATCCTGCTTTAATAAACAGTCAGAAACAGAAACGGACTGATTTTTTGTTCACCATTTTTTTAATTACGAAGCGAGCAATCCCCTGACATTGCCCCCCCTTGGGAAGAAGGGGATTTATTCGGGAGTGTGTTTCCTTTCTGTAAAAGCACAGGCAGGGAGCAGAGGGCGAGATGAGCCACGCGCTACGTGACCCCCCGCCGGCCGCGAGCCGGATCTGCAGCTCTCCGGCACGAGGCGGACCAGCTCCACGAGCAGAGAGCAGAGCCTGATGCAGACCTTCCTCTGACACACTCGGCATCCAGCGCAGTGGCGCTTATTAACCCCCCCTGTCACTGAAAACAACAACAACAACTTCTCTGGGGGCGAAGCAGGAAATCAGAATTCATAAGCACAGCTGAAAAAAAGATCACACCCCCCGACAAGACCGAGCAGTTCTACAGGCAGGTGTTCAAGCAGAGCCCCTGTCAGGCAGCTCTGTGTCACCGGCGTCCTCTGGAGGGGAAAAGAGCGCATTATAGCCGTGAGATCATCCCGGGGTCGCAGGTACAAGGATAGAAACGCTGATTAGTGCTGGGAAAGTGAAAAGGTAAATGGGAAAGAGCAAGGAAGGGCATTCGTGGGTCTGCTGTGGTGAAGAGTAAACTGGGTGATTTAATCAAAGCCTTACTCCCGTTGTAAGGTGTCCAGTCCTGGATGGGTCAGTGTGTCTGCAGCAGGGGTGTCCAGTCCTGGAGGGGTCAGTGTGTCTGCAGATTATCCAGGTGTTTCATACATCAGCAGCACCCATACAAATAGGGTCAGAGCCCACGCTGTGCCTGCAAGCTACAGTTCTGAATCTCCGGGCTGTAGGAGACTGCAAGCCACCGCGGTTGTGTCAGCGCGGGCGGTAAGAGGTCACTTCCTTTATTGTCCCAGAGGAGAAGTTTGCTTTGGAGGCAGATAAAAGACACAACACAATACACTGCACATTTAATACAACACGAGTCCATGAATAAGAAACATGCATGATGAGAAAGTGAAATAAATACGAAGTGAAATACTAAATTCTCACAACTTCTGTCCTGTCTTGCCAAACGCCTTAGACCCCAGTCACGTGATCCGGGTGTTAACGTCACACCAGACCCTCACTACTGCACTGTAAGCCAGCCCTCCATAGACTCGTGTATCACCACCGCCGCCTGGCGGACATTGATCGGAACTGTTACCTCCTACGGTAGTTTGATCAATAGGCTTCATTTTGTTTCTAAAGATTTCAATAAAATGCGGGCATTCTTATGTTTTTACTTGAATATCCAAACATTTTTCCGGAATCGACATATTCAAAGGTAAATTATGTTTTTGTCGGAACGGTGACCGGAAGCGAGTCACGATGATAACAGTTTTGATTCCTAAATATATGAATCACTTTTTTAACGAGAAAAAAAGCTCTCAAAGACAAGAGTCCCATACAAATAGGGTCAGAGCCCACGCTGTGCCTGCAAGCTACAGTTCTGAATCTCCGGGCTGTAGGAGACTGCAAGCCACCGCAGTTGTGTCAGCGCGGGCGGTAAGAGATCACTTCCTTTATTGTCCCAGAGGAGAAGTTTGCTTTGGAGGAGATGATGTCAGCGGCTGGAGGAGGACCTGGAAGCCCGAGGGTGACGGGGCACAGGAAAGGTGTGCTGGCAAGCTGTGTGTGCACAGCCTCGGACACGAGAGTGAGGCACTGAGGGGCTGTGTGGTTCTAACATGAGTGTGTCAAG